TGGTGGCACATGTGTACTATGACACTAGTGTGAAGGCCAGAGGACAACTTTGGATGTCAGTCCTTAGGCCATTGGGCTTGTGTAGCAAGAGCTTTTACATGCTGACCTGGGCTCTTCTGCTTTAGTCTTAGCTGACCTGTCCCGAGGGCCTTGATTCCCATGAGCCTCTCTTTATCTGGTAGCACACTCTGCTTCGAAAAGAGACAAGCGCTTTCTTGCCTTGGGACCTTGGCACGAGCTGCTCAGTCTGTCTGGAGTATCACCATCCTCTTTCCCATCTACCACACATGGACCGATTAATCTCTAAATTTAGTTCTCCAACCCTGCTTGCTGTATTGGGAATAGAACCATGGCCTTGTACTTGAGAAGAGGCTCTTTGTCACTGAACTACACACACCCAGTATATCCCTGCTTAACTAATTTGGGGCTGGCCTAGAACTCAAGATTCTCCTGTGCTAGGATTAAAGGCATATATAGTCATGCCTGGCACAGTTTGTTGTATCTTATTTTGTTTCATTTTATTTTTTGAGACAAGGTATAAAGCCCAACCTGGCCTCGTATTCTGTGTCTGTGTCTGAGGATAACGTTGGCCATCCCATCTTCCTGCCTCTACTTTCCAAATGCTGGCATTATAGGAGTGTGCCACTAGGCCTGGTTTATGTGGTACTGGCAATCAAACCCAGGGCCTTGCTATCCCAGCACCATTATAGATGTCATTTCCTGGGCTGGGGTGTACCTCAGCATCAGAACAGAGGCCCACATGCACAAGGCCTTGGGTTTGATCCACACCCCCAGAAAAAGGAATTTAATTGCTCAGGGAGACCTAGCCAGTCTCAGCCCAGGGTGAGCTTTGTCTTCTGTCTCAAACTGTGGTTACACTGGGACTTTCCCTTGTAGCACTTTGTCACAATTGTAGCCATGGGACTTTGAGGTCCTGTTTCAGGACTTTGGCATACAGTAAGGGGCTGAGGTAAAAAGAAATTCTCCTTTCTACACTCCTTACCCCAGGGATGGTGGTCCTGGGTTCTATAATAAAGCAGCCTGAGCAAGCCATGAGCTCAAGCCAGTCAGCAGCTCCCCTCCGTGACTTCTGCTTCAGCTTCTGTCTCCAGATTCTTGCCCCGCTTAAGCTCCTGCACTGACCTCCTTCAGGGTTACCCAGAAATGTAAGTTAAAATAAACCCTTTCCTCCTCACTAACACTTTGCTTTTAGTTAGTGTTTTATCACAGCTAAAGAAACCCTAAGACAGTGACTTTAGACAATTTTTTTTCACTTGCCATTCTATGGATTAGCTAGGGTTACTTATACTTCAGATTATCTGTGCTGAGGGTATGTGATGACCTCTCTGGGTAGGGTTATTAATTCAGTGGTAAAGCATTTGTCAACACCTCATACCACCATCACAAACAAAGCACAAGTATAGAATGCCAGTTGAATGAAACTGGCTGCTGGCTTCATCACGTGATTGCTCGTCTTCCTACAGCTCAACTCAGACTCTTGAACTGTGGCAGGAAGGGAGGCTGTAAGGACTCTTACATTCCAGCCTTGGAAGTCACACAATGTCATGACATTATATTCTCCAATCAAATCCAATCGTGAGGCCAGCCAACACCCAAGGGACAGGGGAAAGGCCCTCTCCATTTATAGGACCAATGACAAAGACACAGTGAGAAGGACACAGGGAGGCAAAGACTCACAGGAAGTCATCACTGAAACAACCCACTCTACCCCACACCCCACCTCGTTCTCCAAGCCTTCTCCAACCCCTGAAACCTGGTTCCTTTGACCTCTACAACTGCTAGAGGCTCATCTCTTGATTTTGGCTGGGAAGTGGCTCAGTGGTGGAGCACTTGCCTTGTATACTGGAGTTCCTGGGTTTAATCCTCAGTACTGAAAAACAAAACAAAATTTAAAAGGTGCATGCCTAATCCCAGCACTCAGGAGGCACAGGCAGGCATCTCTGAGTTAGAGGACAGCATGGTCACATACTGAGAGTTTGTCTCAAAAAAAAAAAAAAAAAAAAAACTAAGCAAATTAACAATAACAAAACCCCAAACAAACAAAAACCCTAACAGTTGCCCCTCCCAGGAATCATGTTCTCTGCTATTCACCAGGGATCCGGTGTGGTAAGACCCAATTTCTGCCCAAAGGGAGCAGCTTCTAGGAGCCAGCTCTGGTGGTGCATTCATAATCCTAGCACTTGGGAGCCTGAGTCAGCAAGATTATGAAGTCCAGATCAATTTGGATTACATAGGGGAAAAAATGCCTCAAAAACAAACCAACAACCACAAAAAAGCAAAAAGCAAAAAACGAAAAAGGCGGTTGAACCTATCGTCCTGACACATTGTGTTAAGGGCGGGGCTTAAAGGGAACATAGGGCATCTGGGTACAGGGAGGGCAACCAAATTAGCCTTGGAGGCCTATGCTATTTATGTGTTTACACACCGCATCCGCCTTCTCCCAACCACCTCCTCCTTTTCCTCCTCCCACGTACTCCTTCTATCCCCAGATACGTGGTTTGAAGCAGGATCGTCTCCTACACAGCAGGTAAGTTCTGTATCTCTGAAGTGTGTCTCTAGCCCCTTGGCAGAACTAACTCTTCACTGAAAATGAGAGGAACTAAACACAGCAAATAGATTCAAGGGAAAAAATAATCACAATTAGAAATTTCTAGGCTATTCAGCTTTGGGCATAGCTAGATGTCGGAAATGTTTTTCTCACTTCTTAGCTGGTTTCCTTTGTGTTCGTTTAATTCTCAGGCAGGTTTTCCTAAGACATTGGCAAAGGTACCACTAACAGCTCCAACTTTCTGCTTTGATTGCCTAGGCTGGATTACAGTTAATAGACTGTTACTATTCAGGCATCTGTACTGGCTTGCCCTCAGGGTCCTGACAGGATATGTCCTCAGCTGTAGCCACTAAGAGCACCACCTGTGTCTATTCACTACCTTCCCCTATAAAAGGTGGGCCTTACTCACCTCCCATCTCTTTCTCTCTTCCCCTCTTCCTTTCTCTCTCTTGCTAATCTTGTCCTCAGGGAAACTGTCTCTGCTTCCCCTATCTGCCCCTTCTCTCTCTTCCAATAAACCTCCCATGTGAGCCCTGCTTTATGCTCTCTCCCCACTTTTAAAATTAAAACACACAGGGTGTAAGAATAGAGCAGAAATGCACCCTGGGTAAAGGAAGAAAAGGATGTGGAAGCCTGTGTGGTGGCTCAGCACTGGAATCCCACTAGTTGGGAGGCAGGAGGATGGCTGTGAGGCTGGAGTCACGGGCTACACAGTGCATTCAAGGTCAGCCTGGGCTACAGAGCGATACCCGACTCAAATAAAACAAAAACTAAAACCAAAACAAAATATAAACTATCTGTGGTGGCAGGATTCCCAGCGTTTGGGAGTTAGCGGCAGGATCAGGAGTTTAAGGTTACCCTTAGCTACATGGAGGGTTGGAATTCAGCCCAGGTTACAGACAGAGCCCATCACAAACTGAAGGAAGAGAGGATCTGGAGCTGGTCAAACACCAGCTTTCTCTTAGGCAGGTGGTTAATTTTGCAGCCTTTCAAGTGAAGTGTGATGGTGGAAGGCCAGGGAGCCTGGGAAATACAGATGGCAGCTTGTGTAAAGGAACAGTAGGGAGCTGGCCAGAGATGCTTCAGGGAGCTTAAAACCCCACTCACCCGAGCTTGACCTCCGAATCTCACAGGAGGGAAGTTCTCTAAGTTGTCCTCTGGCCTCCACATGTGCCCAAGCAACCATAAAAATAGTAATAAACAGAAATAGTAAAAGGTGGGGCAGTGGTGGCACATGACTTCAATCCCAGCACCTTCGAGGCAGAGGCAAGCGGATTTCTGTGAGTTTGAGGCCAGCATGGTCTACAGAGCGAGCTCCAGGTCAGTCAGGGCTACACAGAGAAACTGTCTCAAAAAACAAAAAACTTGAAAAGAATTGGGAGCATGGGGTCAGATCCTTCCAACGCTGCTTGGTTGTAAAAGCACCTGAGACACGACTCGTGCTTTTCCTGTGAAAACTGGATCTTTTCCCAGCTGTCTTGAGGGTTAAGTGAAATATCAAACACAGAGACGTAAGAGAAAACCGCCCTATCCCTATTCTTGTTGGTGTTAAACCAAAGGTCCTGGGGTTGGTCTACTGACCAGCAAAAAAAAAAAAAAAAAAAAAAAAAAAAAAAAAAAAAAAGAAAAGGAAAAGGAGTGCCTTCCACCTAGTGGCCAGCACCGGTCACTGCCTTGTCAAGTTGGCCTATTTTCATAATGGTTTTCATGTTTCTGGACAGCATTTATGGACAGTGACCAGGAAAAGTGCTAAAAGGATGCATGGTCTTTATATTTCAGGCTTGGCACAGGCAGAGACTCTGAGGTAGTCGCTGTTCCTTGGGGCTAACTAACCAAGGTCACAGAGGTTTGTGGACTTTGTGGAGGTAGAGCAGGCATCTGAGCCCTGGCTGCGGGATTCCAGTGCTTGAGTTCCCTGTGTTACTTTAGACTGCCTCTCGAGAGCCCATGCCTCTCCATGAGACCTTCCTGGGTCACTACAATGCAGGGGAGCTCTCTCTGATGCTTACTCTGTGTGTGGACCTGTGCATTGATATGCGGCTTCATTCTAGGTTGCTGAATTCCATACAGTCTTAACAAAGAATGCAGAAAGCAGCCTGTCTGGTGGCACATACCTTTAGTCCCAGCACTCAGGAGGCAGAGGCACCTGGATGTCTGTGAGTCTGAGGCCAGCCTGGTCTATACAAGTTCCAGAGCAGCCAGGGCTACACAGACTTTTTTTTTTTTTTTTTTTTTAAATAATGACAGTAAAGTGTCATTAGATGGCATCTTTCTGGTTGCCACCAGAAAATCCAACTTTAAAGACTGATAATAATTAGTACAGACAAGAAACCTGGGGCCTTTACATACTGAATTGGCAATCATCAGAATCACTTTGGCTAAAAACTGTGCCTATCCCATCATCCCACTTCTGAGTGAAGGAACGCACACATCAAATGACAGCAGCTTTATTTGGGACAACCCTTGAGGAGAAACACAACTGTTCAGCAGTAGGAAGGCTTGGCTGTGATGGATTCAAATAAAGGATTACTAGAAAGCATTAAAAAAAAACAAAACAAAAACTTCTGGCCAGGTGGTAACAGCTCCCGCCTTTAATCCCAGCACCCGGGACACAGAGGCAGCCGGACGTTTGTGAGTTTGAGGCCAGTCTTGCCTACAGAGTGAGTTCCAGGACAGCCAGCACTACATAGTGAGACCCTGTCCCCTCAAAAACAAAACAAAAAGAACTTCTCACATACACAATAACACGGGTGAAACTGTATGTGGTGGCACATGCCTGTCTTCTTAGATGTAGGGCGTTACAGGCAGAGGATCAGCAGTTCAAGGCCAGGCTTCTGCATGACAAGCGTGAGACCAGCCTGGCTACATGAAACAAACTAGAAAACATAACCTCAAGAGTTATTCAGACCAGAAATTCATCTCTCAGCCTTTTCATACTCCAGGCTGGAAGTGCTTGTGTCCAGGGCATTCCCACAGGCCCGTATGTCACTCTCTAACTAGTGGCTTTCAAGTGGCGTGTCCCCAGAGGGCAAGAGCAAGCTGCTCCCAGGGTTCCACACCAGTAGTGCTGGGCATGCAGCTGCTAGGGACTCCTGGATCTAGACAAGGTGGTCTTATGCGATGAGGGTCATGGCAGGTCAGCCCATTCATGACCTAACCCTTCACTTCCTTACCTAGTCATCTTTACTAGTTCTGACATACTGGGATACATAGGATTCTGGGAAAACCGTTGAGGTGGCCCACAGTGTGGAAGTGGAAAGCTGAGAACCTATTCTAGGAGCCAAGAAGAGCTTTTCTCAGCAGGCTAGGGGCAGATGCCAGGACAGTGAGCTGCAGGGAACTAGAGCTGAGGCTGCTTGGTCTGGCCCATCTGTATCAGTTCCCACGGCAGAGCCCTCCTTCCATCATTTCAGAGTCACAGAAAAGGCCCTTCCGAGGACCAGAAGCCTGTGAGAAGCTCCGTGGAAACCCCTCTAGCTCTTTAATCTGAGCAGGAAAAGGACACCTGCCTTTACGCATCCTCACCCAATCATTCATATCCAGAATTTAAGACACAGCATCCTGGGCATGCAGTTGGTGGTCTACCCAGAAGGGATGACCCTGGAGACAGCCTTAGGGACCCAGCTCTCTTTCACACTGGCCTCCCTGCAGTTCTCCACTCAGGAGCTAGAGTGACTGTCAAGACCTCTAGGAGGCCCACGTGAAAGGTGAATGTGGCTGGGTCGATGAACCAGGCTAGGTTTAGGGCACCAGGAAGACTTTTCCTGGGGTAAGATCATTACTGGGGATCCTGGGGGGCTCAGACAGTGTGGGGATATTATAGCACTATCAATATGGCTGGCTATAAACCCTAGATCTGAAGTTACAGCCTGGTTCACAGAATTCTTTCTTTGGATGGCTGAGTCGCCAAAGGTTTACGTTTAAGGCCTGTCCCTACCCTCTGTGGCACCCACTGTGTTACCAATGAAGCCTTAGGGATAGGTCCTAGAATCCTTGCTCCTCAGCTATGTGGAAAAATCCACTCCTAGTTCAGGCCTGGGGGCCCTTTTCCTCACACCTTCCTCACACCAGTTCTCTAGTCGTCTTTCCTGGGTCCCCCCAAATCTCCCTGAGGATGACAAGGGAAGGGTAGCACCACGGCACCCTGGGTGGGATAGTCTACTACACAAGGGCACAGTAGCCTGGCAGGGGGCCGTTTGCCTTTCAGGGCACAGAATCAAGAAACACAGCAGGTGGGAGACTTTCTCACAGGACCCTGGGTCAGAGCACCTCTGATAAAGGACAAGGCCCCCTGTGGTGCTTCCCATGATCCCACTGGGCACTCAGGTTTCCCTCAAGCTCCTAGCTACTGTAGATGCCTGCAAGCACCATTTGGGAACTGGAGAGACGGCAGCTGAGAGCAGTGCTGTCAGGACTGTGTTCCAGGAGACTTCCCGGTGGCAGGGTCTACACCAGGCAAGCCTGCACACTGGCGGGATGGGGAGTGACATATTAGCTCCAAGTTTCTACATGGCAGCCACTCCAGTTTGTTGTCTGCTGCCCTGACGAAGTCCTCAGGAAAGCTCCAGTTTCCCAGGAGCTGCCCAGAGCCCAGAGATGGTGCTGTCCTTCATCTGTAGGGACTTGCTCCAAACTGACCTCAAGAGGAAAAAGACACTGGGACTGCAGGACATACACCCAGAGGGGCCTGGACAGACACCACCTCAAGAGCCCTGTCTCCTCTATCATGACATGTAGGGCCACACTAAAGAGGCGGGCAGGAGGAGCCTCATTGCGGCCCAGTCAGAGGCTGTTTGCAGCCCATTTTGGCCTCATGCCTCCATATTCTTCTGATGGTAGGAAGGAGGAAGAGGGACCAAGGGCTAACCACAGCCGCCAGAACTGGCTTGTGGCTGTCCTAACAGGCTGACCAGGCAGGAACACCTCTAGTCTTCTGTCACACCTGAGTCCTTTGGAGTGGGTTGCGTTTGCACTGGCATCTGGTTTATGGATGACACCACGGTTTTGGGTGACCTGTAATTTGAGAAGAATAAAGACACAAGGTGAGTGTGTGGCACGCATGCTCAGCAGCCTGTTCTAATGGTAGTATGGGCAGGGCGGCCTTCCTTTTCCTGAGGGCCACTGACCACTAGGCCATTAAACCATTTCAACCTCAGGTCAATTCTGCATGGTGAAGAAAGCATTTTATACAGGGAGCTGAACTTCACAAAGCTATAATGACTGGCTTAAAATGTTTGTTTAGAAATTTATGACATTTAGGTCTCACAAAGGAGAGAAAATAATGTTCCCTGATTTGGCTTGTTTTGCTTAATATGATCTTGAGTTGCATTTACTTTCCAACAAACATAATTCCTTCCGTGTGTGAGAGAAAGGAGAGAGAGAGAGAGAGAGAGAGAGAGAGAGAGAGAGAGTATGACCTTGGGTGTCATTCCTTAGGTCTAGAACTTGCCAAGTAGGCTACACTGGCTGGCCAGTGAGCCCCGAGGGTCTTCCATCTCTACGGGTCTTCCATTTCTGCCTTCCCAGTACTGGAGTTACAAGCATGTATTACCACACCTGGCTTTATTTTGTTTGTTTTTGACACAGATTTGCAAGTATCCCAGGTTGACCTTGAATTTCTGATCCTCCTTGCCTCTACCTCTCAACTGCTAGGATTACACAAGTCTGTACCATGCCCGACTGCTTGGCTCCTGACTTTGCTTTTTTTTTGGGGGGGGGGGGATGAGGGGGAGTTCCAAGACAGTGTTTTACTGTGTTGCCCTGGTTCTATGCTAGAGTTCAATATGAAGACCAGGCTGGCATCAAAGTCATAGACATCCACTTGCCTCCTGACTGCTGGGATTAAAAGTGTGCACCACCACCACCCAGTAAGAAAAGTTATCTTAGCAGCAAACTTATTTATAGTGACCCTTCCATAGCCTTGGAAGGTGGGGCATGCTAATGAGCTCCATGAGGCAACAGGAGAGCAAAGGCACCACATGGGTGTAAAACTTTGTTTAAGTCCAAGTAGCTATGTGACCCAGGGCAAGCAACTCAACCTTACTGATACTATGTAAAGGAGATGCTCTACTGGAGCTCACCCTGAAGATTTAATGAAACGGAATTGTTCAATAATTGTAGTTTTACAGAAATAGTAGACTGAAAGAGGTTTATTGAATTACCCAAGGTCACAATAGTAAACAAACCAAAACCAAAACCAGTACTAGCTCTGTCTTCCCTTCCTTTCTGATGTAGTCTTTGAGCCTCTGGAGGCAAGCACATGGCCAGGACCCTACCCTGAGGACCCCAATGCCAGATTCCACCCACAGAACACTCTTAACTGCCCTAATGTGGGACCTAGACCCTGCCCTACAAAGTAAAAAGCCTAGGTTCAGGACTTGAAATCCCACCAATCCCCACCCTGGAAAGCTTCACCCCCAATAAACACTATATAAACCCTGCTTTCTGCTCAGTTCTCTGCCATTCTCACCTGAGCAGAGGCAGCCACCCTTCTGGGTTTTTCCCTTTCAATAAATATCTTGTATGAGGTTTGCTGTGTGATTCGACTTTCTTTGGTTCCTGACTGCCTAGATACCTTTCTTTTCAGAGCTGTAACACTTCACTGTCAGTCCAGGCAGGGCTGGATCTTGTTAGGTAGCCCATCCTAGCTTCTAATTCTTGATCTTCCTCTTCAGCTTCCTAAATCCTGGGACTGCAAGGGTGTGCCACTGTGTGTGAATACACTACCACTTTCAAGTGTGAGTAGCTCCAAAGTTCTGGCTGGCTCCAGGCTGTCTACTGAAACTGCCGGATGCTAAGCTGCTCAAGTGTGTTTGAACACGGAGAACAAGGTTAGTACTCACTAATTCCCCTGTAAGGGATGTCATAGCCCCTCTGAGACAGGATCTCATGAAACGCAGGCTGAACTTGCTTAGTATCTGAGGATACTCTGGAACTCCTAAGTGCCGGGATTATAGGCGTGCACTACCACACACGCACCACAACTTTAATTGCTGGACTGTCTGCTTTGTGCTTCCCATCAGAATGTAAGGTTGTGAGAGCAGGGGCCGGGTCTGCTTTGCCAACACTTGGGTGTTTTCTCACATTGGGTAGTAAGCTGCAGAGGGAGCTCCTGTACAAACAACCAATTGAAAAAGGGGCCTCAGATCAGCAGGGCAACTCATGTTTTCCTACTCAAGCTGCTACAGGCCAAGAAATCCAGGCGCTCTTTGGAAACCTGTGCATCTCTACTGACTCTCTCATCCTCGTCTATCCACACGCTGGAGGAATGCTTATGGAGGAAACCCAGGAAAACTGCCCGTTAATTCACTTACCTTCTGTTGACTGAGAAAAGGCTCTTGTATTCATTCCATTTCAGCAGGGAACTACCTGACAGAGAAACCCCAGCCTCCTGCTGAACACTCATGAATTTCAAAGGCTGTTACTCACTGGTTCTTGTGTTTGAAGCCACTGACGTGAGCTTGGTACTGTTCTATGGAGTTCAGTACTATCTTACACGTCTTGCAGGGATAGCCCTTCCCAGCTGAAACACACATGAAAATGCAGTCAGTTACCCAGCGGGAAGGAACTGGAGGAGTGCTGCTTTTGCACAGAGTGCGCACAAGCCCTTCTGAAGACTGAGGGTGGAGCTCAGGGGCCCTGGCTAAGACCCCAGAGGACTGGGTGCTCTGGAGGCACAGACTATGTAACACTGTACCCTGCCCCCCTTATTCTCATCAAGTAACCCCAGTTCCTACTCCAGCAAACACCAGACCAGACTGTTACTGAATAAATGAAGAATGGCAGAATATGAGTTGCAGAGATGGCCTTGTGGGTTAAGAAACTTGCATCAAGTCTGATGACCTGGAAAGGCCTGCTCTCCTTGGGCTTGCAGTGACAGTAATTAAGGAATACAGCTGTTATGAAAATCAATCTGTCTTTACCCTGGAGTTCAGACACCTGGGCTCACAACCAGGGTTCCTCTGGTAACACAGTGGCCTTGTACCATATGGCTCCAGCAGTGAGTCAGGACTGAGAGGTCAGACTGGACCCCTGGCTCTGTTTCATGTGGTATGGCTAAGTCTTTTGCCTTCCAAAGCTTAGCTTTTCACAACCATAAACTAATTAATTATATTAACTTATACTTAAATTAGCTGCATCTTAGAATTCAAAAGTATTTTTAGCTGGGCAGTGGTGGCGCACACCTTTAATCCCAGCACACAGGAGATAGAGGTTAGGCAGATTTCAGTGAATTCTAGGACAGCTGGGACTATTACACAGAGAAACCCTGTCTTGAAATACCAAAAGAAAAAATTAAACTCAAGTGCATGTATGTATGTGCACATGTGTGCAGGTGCCTAAAATGCCAGAAGAGGGAGTCCTATCTTCTGGAAACGGAGTTATAGGTGGTTGTGAGCCACCTGATATGGTTGCTGGATCCAGACACTCTTCAAGTCTGGCAAGTGGTGTTAACTGCTGAGCCATCTCTCTAGTGTTATTTTTTAAATTTGATTTTTGAAATGAGGCCTCACTACATGATAAGGTAGCTCTTGCTGGCCTTAAAGCAATTACTCTGTCTTAGTGTCGTGAGTGCTGGGATTTATAAATGTATCACCACACCAGGCCAAAATGTCAGACATGGGTCATACATTGCCTATAATTTCTTCTGAGATCCTATCTCAGGCTAGGCTTCAACTTGTGCTCCTCCAGTCTCACTCCCAAGTGACAAGGATACAAGCGTGCACTATCACACTTGGCTCATTCACACACCTTATCAGGCAGCACACACACAACTTGAAAGCCCCTCCTGTCCTGGCTCTGATGCCTCTGACCTATCTGTTACCTTCAAACCTCATCTCTGTAGTGAGCTCACCTATGCGCACAGCCCACCTTTCCTGCTAATCTGTGGGCCCACAGGTCAGCTGTTTAACCCTGATCTCCTTAGGTGGGAAAGCGCAGCTTCTCTAAGATTTTTAGTTCCCGATATATAAAATAGAGTTACCATTAGTATCAGCTTCAAAAGGTTAAAATGTTTAAAAAAGAAAAAGAAAAAGTATTTGAGTTGGGCATAGTGGTGGCATACACCTTTAATTCAAGCATTTGGGGAGGCAGAGGCAGGTGGAACTCTGCAAGTTTGAGGCCAGTCTTGTCTATAAAGTGAGTTCTAGGATAGTTGGAGCTGCATAATAAGACCCCGTCCCCCAAAATAAAACAAAGAATAAATAACAAGTATTGGTTAAGGGGAAGGAGGATTACTAAGAACAAAGGACTATGATATATATGTATGAAAATGTCATAATGAAACTCACCACTTTGTAGGCAAAACAATATAAAACAAAATCCTTTGTTTAGATAGGATCTTATCTAGTGCGGGTTAGCATGGACTCTGGACATAGCTAAAGCTGGCCTTGAACTCCTGGTCATCCTGCTCACATCTTTCAAATGCTGGGATTATAGGTGATAGGCATGTTTGGGTCTCATGTAACTCAACTGATCTTCAATTATCTATGCAGCCAAGAGTAACCTTTGACTACTGACCTTCCTCCTTTACCTTTCAAGTTCTGGGATTCTGAGAAGTGCCTGGCTTACTGTAGCTTTGTAGTATGTCTGGAAAATCTGCAATGTCTCAAGTTTTGTTCTTTTTTTTTTTTTTTTTTCTCAAGGCTGCCTTTGCTGCTGGAGGTCACATGTGACACAATACACATTTAGGATATTTCTCTACTTTTATGAAGAATGTTACTGGCATCTGGATAGGAATTATCCCAAATCCACAAATCACTTATAGTATGAATATTTTAGTATTAATTTCACCAACACAGGACATGCCCCCATTTTAGGGAAGGTGGTGCCTGTTTGCTTATTTTTTGGGAGAGGCCACGTAGCCCAGGCTGACCTAAAGATCAGTAAGAATGTAGCACTGCTCTCCTTGATTCACAGCAAACAGACGACCAGAGCTAGACTGAGGCGGATCTTCTCACCCAACTGACAGTCTAATATTCATTGAGATCATATTTCCTCCAGATCCCTTATAATTAGTTATCTTGGTAGTTAGTAGTAATAACTGTAAATAGTCCTACATTTACAATTTTCCTATGTCAAGTTGACCATGTTACAAAAATGTCGCTAAGAGGTGCAATCGTTTTTAAAAACTAAATGTTTAGAAATAAGGTAGGGCTGGGTATACACTCGGGGTAGAGTACGGGAAAAAAGAAAAGAAGGGACATCTTCCCGTTCACTTGATGACAGCACTCAGGGGAAGTGGGATGACTCACAGGGATCACAGGAGGAAGGGCAGTTTACGTGGAAATGCCGCCTTTGGTCCATTTCTTACTCTGTACAGGTTTAAAAGGTTGGGAAGACTCTAGTTCAGCATGTTGAAGTTATTCTGGATGCACAAACAGATGCATGACTGGGCACAGCATTCTGTTGTGCACTGTGCTGTGGCCTCTGATGCAGTGAACCCTCTGGAGAAGAAGGGTTTCCTGTGGGGAGCTAAAGGAGTGACACAGTGGCCTGTTGCAGTCGCTTCGGCCTCAGATAATAAATCCTCTTCTGGGAAGAGAGGGTCAGAGCTCACACTCAGCTTCTTAAGATGCCGCTGCGTCTGAGCTGATGCCACGCATGGTGCACTGCCCTGCAAATGCAGCAGCTGGGAGTGGAGGCAGGACACTCAGGAGTTTGTCATCTGTGGATACACAGCTAATTTGAGGCTAGCATGAGCTATGTATGAAACTGTCTCAGAAAACAAGACAAACCCTAAACCCCCCAACCAAACTAAAACAATCCCGCTCTAGCTTACAGACTGGCAGGTTATATTCACAGCAAGAACAATGCCCTTGCTTCCATTTATTTATGTGCGTGCGTGCGTGCGTGCGTGCGTGCGTGTGTGTGTGTGTGTGTGTGTGTGTGTGTTAGTGTGTGTGTGTGTGTACTCGTGCACACTCCCCATCCCCCAGTCTCTAACTCCCAGGTGCCAGGATTATAGCTGTGCACTATTGTGCCGTGTTCACGTGGTGCTGCTAACTAAAGCCAGGGCTTTGTGTGTGTGTTAGGCAACCACTCTACCAACTGAGCAACATTCCCAGCCCTGACCATACTAATAGGAAGCGCCCTTAATTATTTCCCGTGATGCCAGGTGGCACTTTTACGTTAAGGATGCTGGGATGGCCTCCTCCTTCACTGTGACTCCCCAGGGATGCAGGCAGGTCTCAAAGGCGGAGGAAAGAGAGATGTCCTAAGGATGCTCAGACTTTGGTAGAGGCTGTGGAGATCTTCAATCAAGCAATGTGGACCTTATCCGGGGACTTAAATCAGAGGTTAAGGCTGGATCGATGGCTAGGCAGTTAAGAATATTTGCTGTTCTCTCAGAGGACCTGAGTTCAGTTCCCACCAGGTGGCACAACCACCTCTAACTCCAGCACCAGGGAATCAACCCCTTCCTCTGGTCTCCTTGGGCATCCATAATTACCTACCCACAGATACACATAAACACATAATTACAAAAATAAATCTTGAGCCAGGTGGTGTAGGAGGCACATGCCTTTAATCCCAGCACTCGGGAGGCAGAGGCAGGCGGATCTCTGTGAGTTCAAGGCCAGCCTGGTCTACAGAGCGAGTGCCAGGACAAAACAAAAAAAAAAAGAAAAAACAAAAACAAAACATAAAACAAATTTTTTTTTTTTTTTCTGTGCAGCGCTGGTAGTCCTAGAACTTGCTCTTAGACCAGGATGACGTAGAACTCAGATCTGCCTCCCTCTGCTTCCCAAGTGCTGGGATAGTTTATTTTCTTATATAGACTAGGACCACATGCCCGGGGGTTGCATTGTCCACATTTTTTTCTTAACAAACAAACAAAAAAAACCAAAAAACTTTAAGCCAGGTGGTGTTGGTGTTGTCAGAGGAACACGCCCTACGCCTTTAATCCCAGCACTCAGGAGGCAGGAGCAGGTGGATCTTTGTGAATTTGAGGCCAGCCTAGTCTACATAACCAGCTCCAGGACAGCCAGAGATACACAAAGAAACCCTGTCTTGAACACAAACAAAACACACCCATACACCCACACCCACACCCACACCCGAACAATATAAACTGGTGGCTCTTTTTTTTTTTTTTTTGGTTTTTTGAGACAGGGTTTCCCTGTGGCTTTGGAGCCTATCCCGGAACTAGCTCTTGTAGACCAGGCTGGTCTCGAACTCACAGAGACCCGCCTGCCTCTGCCTCTGGAGTGCTGGGACTAAAGGTGTGCGCCACCACTGCCCGGCAAACTGGTGGCTCTTGAACATGTACAAGATCCTGTATTTCATGCACAGCACTGACATAGAGCTAACGGTAATGATAATAAAAACACAAATTTGGCTTTCCATAATTTTTGTTTGTTTATTTGTTTTGAGACAGGGTCTCTCTGTATAGTCCTAGAGCTGGTTATGTAGACCAAGCTAGCTTCGTACTCACAGAAATCTCTGCCTGCCTGTCTCCTGAGCACAGACTGAGATTAAAGGCCTGCACCACCGCACCTGACTTCTACAGTACCTGAAAACTGAAAGATAGCAACACCAGGGGAGCTCGGAGTCTCACACACTCTTCAGTTGACCGTGGTGTCTTTGGGTTTTATCACTGAATTTCCTGCTTGTTCCTCTGCATTCCCTCCAGACAGGTTCCCACTACATAGCCTAGGCCTTTGATCCTCCTGCTCCAGCCTCCAAGTGTTGGAGTATACACCAAGCCCAGCTTGCCCGCTTGCCTTCTGTGCTTGCAAACTCTAGTTTAGCAGATGCAGGAAGCAGCATCTACTTGGGTAGTTCAAGGAGCTCCAGTGCTCGGTTCCCGAGCCAGTTCCGTGTGAGCCGCACCCTCTCACCTGGTGAGTCAGAGACAGCAGGGTCCGCCAGCCGCCCATAGTGCGCCATGAGTTTGAGCTTAGTCTCCTGCTTCCTGTGTTTCTTGCCCATATAATGCTGTTGAGCCATGGCAGGGTCATTGAAGGTTGAGTGGCACAGGCTGCAGAACTTGTCTGGGTCTAGCGTCTCTCTGCTCTGGTGCAAGGCTAAGGTGGAGGCCACAAGGAAAGGGTTTGTAAGGTGTTTCCACAGAGCTGTGGTGAGAGAGTTCAAATAGAAACAATGAAAAGCCACCCAGAAGGTGCCAGGCTCGAGTATGCTTGAAGTGAAAGGAAGGCAGTGTCACCTCACCCATTACACTTGGAGACGAGGCACTGCCTGTGAGACTCACATCACAAATGCCTTCTCGAGCTGGGAAAGGTGGCAAGAGCTGAGCACTCAAGTGCAAGGACAACTCATTTGTTTGCCAGGTTAGGAACATGAGCCCTGATGGTCTCACACTCTGAAGAGGCTCGTGTGTGCTATCCAGTTGCCTAATTGTAAAAGACCAAGCTGTAGTCTCTCTAGCCCTCAGAATTTCTTGGAATTTCAAAGCGAGTAAGATAAGAAGTGTGAATATTGCATTTCCATCCTCAATATACCCCAGTTACAAGCTGAAGTAGACATTCAAGCTCTGAGCCCATACAGAGTCAGGTAACCTGATTAGGAACTACTTTTATCATTTATTTATTTATTCACTTTTTTTTTTTTTTTTTTTTTTTTTTTTTTTTTTTTTTTTTTTTTTTTTTTTTTTTTGAGAAAGGGTCTCACTATGTAGCTATGTAGCTTTCTGGATGGCCTAAGAGTCAAAGATGTAAATCAGGCTGGGACTGAAGTATGTGCCACCACACCTGGCAGAGACGCGTGCTAAGACTACACTAAATTCTAGGCAGTGTGTGGGAGAGAGAATGGTGAAGGTAACAATTATACATTTTGTACATACAGCTTCCCTTTTGGTTCTCACAAGCTCTCCAATGAGGCAGGCATTATTTTGCCTTACTACAGAGAAGACTGAAGCTCAGACAGTAAAAATGACTTGCTCACGAGTACAGCAAGTAGGTCTGCAGGCTACCAATGATACATCATCATCCATCATCATCAGAAAACATTCCTGACTCTGCTCAAAGAATTCACCCAGTCAGGGGCAAGAGCAGGTTCAGTGGCTAAGAATGCCTGGCCTTCTGTTCTTCCAGAGGTCTGTGTTCAGTTCACAGCATCCTTGCCAGGCGGCTCACAAAGCCTTGATTCAATTATTCTGGCTTAGGCAGGTAAGTGTACACACATGTACACACGTATGTACACACACACACACACACACACCATGACAGCATGTCATGTAGCATAGGGATATATTTGCCTGCTTATTCTTTTGAGTCAGGGTTTCCCTCTATAACCCAGGTTGGCCTAGAACTTCTTGTAGCCCAGGATAGCCTCAAACTCAGAAATCCTCCATCTCAGCCTCTCAAGTGCAGAGATTATAAGCATGAGCCACTGTTAACAGTGCTCTCCTTAGAAGTAGAACTTGAGTAGCATTTTGCTTGCTTTCAATGTTTTGCATGTTGAATTGGAATTATTCATGTATGTGCACCATTTTAACAGAAACAGAAAATTATGTGGTCTATGTTTATAAGCACATATACATGGAGTCAAGGATGAACGCAAAACAAATACAATACAAACAGATAAGTGCACACAGAGTTCTCAAGGCTATAGAAGAGCAATAGTACTCTAGAAGGTTAACAGTGCTTTGAATGGTAAAATCATGGAAATTCGTTTCAATTTATCTGTATTTTCTACAACATGCTTGTTTTCAGGGTTAGAGCTCAAATGAACCCATGAAGCAGTATGAACATAATGCTTAAACTGTAAGGCTAAAGGAGAAGTGACAGCAGAGTGGACACAGTTGATGCACTAGCTGCAAGAGCTGAAAGTGAGGGCGGATAACTTGCGCTCAGAGCACAGGTACTGGAGGCGGCCTGTTCCACACGAGTCTCTTGCTTGTGGGAAGCTATGTCTATGACATTACAAATTCAGTTCTTAAGAGAATTTTCCTTGGCCTAATGTTTAACATTGTGGTGCTATTGCTGTTATCAGCCCTCACTTTATAGGCAAAGATCAATCAGTCCTCATCTAAGTTACCAATTCAACCATAAGCACGGTCAGTGGCGCACTCTAGATCAGCAGTTCTCAACCTGGGGGTCGCGACCCCTTTGGGGGCGGGTCAAATGACTTTCACAGGGGTTGCCTAAGACCATCAGAAAGCCGATATTTACACTATAATTCACAACAGTAGGAAAATTACAGTTATGATGCAGCAACAAAAATAATTTTATGGCTGGGGGTGCCACACCATGAGGAATCACGGTCAAGAGTTGCAGGGTCAGGAAGGCCGAGAACCCTGCTCGAGATAGTGGCTTCCTGACCAATGACTACATTTCATGAGGGGATTTCACTCACTGGCTTTTTAATGGTGACAACAATAGTAACAACAGCTGTTGTTTAGTGAGTATCTGCCATATCCTAGACTTTTTTTTTGGGGGGGGGTTGCCTCTTATTATTTTTTTGGGTGCCATATAGGCCAGGGTGGTCTCAAACTTATAGCCAAGGATGGCACTGAACTCCTGATCTTCTTGCCTCCACTTCCCAAGTGCTGGGATTTGAGGTGTGTGTTATTACTCCTCGCTGTCCAGTGGCTTTTATTTGTCTTTGCGTGGTCCAGAAGCAGATGGTGCTGTTGCTTCACAGGTGCAGGAACTCAGGCACAAATGTAAGTAAAAGCGCCAGAAGTTAACTCTGTGCTGTTCTGACTTCAAAGTCTATATTCTGTTTCATACCCTGGGTAACTAGATTTGGATATGATTAGAGTGGATAATTATGAGTACATTTTTCTATCTTATCTTCAAAACCTTCTAAAACACCACTGTCTTGTTTCAGTGACGCAGGCAAAACAAAAGGATCAAAAGTTCTATCAATAGTGTGGTCTTGACCCAAATTAGACAACGCATGCGCGCACTTGTGCGCGCGCGCGCGCGCGCACACACACACACACACACATACATACACACACACACACAGAGAGAGAGAGAGAGAGAGAGCAGAGAGAGGAGAGAGAAGAGAGAGAGAGAGAGAGAGAGAGAGAGAGAGAGAGAGAGAGAGAGAGAGAGAGAGAGAGAGAGAGAGATATCAAAGGCCTCCCACTTTTGACTAATTGCAGCTAGCCTAGGTTAAAAACCTCAGGATTCAAGATGAAAGTGAAGGCTGGACCAACAGTGACAGGGTTAAGGAGGCTAACTGTGAAGTCAGTGCTGGGGAATGGATTCACAGCAGCTGTTAACAGCTTGCTGGACAACACAGCATGTCCTGTTTTGAAGGCTAGCCCCCTGCCTTGAGAACAGGAAGCTTTTGTGGGTCAAAGTGAGCAGGGCATAACCTCAGCCCATGAGAAAGATGGGGAATTAGCGGTCAACTAGCAACACTTAATAGTCAGAGCAGGTGGGTGGTAGTAGGAGAGGCAAGTGACAGAATGCTCACAGTGTGTGTCGGCCTTTGGCACTCCTGATTTACAATTACTGGTCAGGACAAAAGCTGGGGCTAAGAAGCTTCTACAGAAAATCTTCGAGAACAACACAAATGGAAGTAAAGTGAACCCAAGTCTAAGGCCGAATTACAGTGAAGCAGGGTCTAGCAAAGGTTGGCCTCAAACTCCCTATGTAGCTGAGGATGACCTTGAACTTCTAATTTTCCTGCCTCCACCTCCTGAGTGCTGAGATTACAGGTGTGCACCACATCTGGCTTATGTGAGGCTGGGGATGAAAGCCAAACCTTTGTGAACATTAGGAACATTAGAACTCATAGGTATTCTACCAAATGAGTTACATCCCAACTCTTTTGTGGATTTTTCAGGGCTCTTAAAAGCAACCTCTCCAAGTCTGAGGCCTCAGTGAGCATTCTGAAGCACTGCCTGCCATTGGTGCCCCGAGGATGAGAGGGGTCCCAAGAGCACTACTCAGGAAACCAGTACCTGCCCCCTTAGTGGACTGCTGCTTCAGCCTTAAGTTCTTTGCGTGGGTCTTCCCCAGGTAGTGCGACTGAGCCACAACAGGGGAGGAAAAGGTCATGTTACAGATGGGGCAGCAGTGGTTCTTGTCTTTGCTTCTGCTGCTCTTCTGGTTGGGAGAGAGAACACAGGTCTGATCACGCCACTGCGCATCCAGAAAACCTCCAACGTTTCCCCTGCCCGTGGCCTGGTGGACATTTAAGACCCAACACACCTCAACAGTCTTCCCCAGCTGCTCCCTGTCAGGTTCTAGCACGACTTCCCATTTTATTCTGTTCCTTCCTTGCTTTGCTTGGTTTATCCCTACTGGCTAGAATGTTCCTCCACCTTCCTGCCTGGCATTAGGTCTACTATCAGCCTTCAATGACTTTCACTAAAAAAAAAAAAAAAAAAAAAAAAAAAAAAACCCAAAAACCAACTGAACACGCACCAAGCCCCCTCCTATGTATATGCAGGAAGAATCAACCTCGATCCCCAGCTGAATTCCCAAAGTCTATCAGATTTCTATTACACCCTCTGTCACTCTGAACGGACAGTGGAACAGCTTAGGAGACTTTTATGCAAGCTCAAGTGCAGTGCTGGGTGTGGACAACTTGACTTATTTTTGCCAACTATCCTGTACTCTATTGTGCCGAGCACACAGTACAAACCCAGGGGTTTTAGCACAAGTTTGTTATCAGGTTCCATTTGTTACTATGGTTATGCTAGAAAGTGTATTTTAATCTTCCCGAAAAGCCTGTCCTCTGAATAAGCTGTTTCTTCAACATTTCTCAACCTTTGAACTGCAGACATTTTGAGTCTAGTAATTCCTAGCTGGTGGTGGGTGCTGTGGTCTCATCTGAGTCACTCAGTCATCTGAAAAACTGAAGTGCAAAGAGGAGAAATGGTCTTTCCTTTTTGGGTCCAAGCCACCAGGGCCACTTGGAAGTGATTTCTCGAGGGGAAGCGAGGTCCCTTTAAACCCCTGGCCACTGTAGCAGAAATGCAGTCTGGAGAGTAACCTCCTACTTATAGAGCGTTTCCTGGGGACTAAAACTTTACTTCCTAATACTAAAGAGGCAAGATCATCTTTATGAGTGAATCTCAGAGAGGTTAAGTGACTTTGAAAGTCACAGTACACTCAAGGAATTACAGCTTGTTCCAGCGTAATTCTTATAGTAATTCTGAGATAAAAAGTAAACGTAATTGCTTTCTAATCAGAGGAGGTATTTATTTTCCTTGATTGTTCAGGCCAAATGCTGAGAGTCTGTTTTCCCCACAGCTAAAGAAAATGAGCGCCGGGGCATCTCTCTATGTCCTCTCTTGCTCTGCTTCAATAACCCTCTGGGTGGCAAAGCAGAACAATGAATGATTCTATTTACTGAACCACTACTGTATGACAGATTCAGGGTCTGGTGCTGTTTTATAAATATTTTCTCAACTTACAACCCCCCCCCCAAGGTAGCTATAATGGTCTTTTTTGTTTGTTTTGAGACATTCTCTCATTGTAGCTCAGGTTGGCCTCAAACTTGCTATGCAGCGGAAGACAACCTTCAACTAATCATCTTCCTGCCTCTACCTTCAAGTGCTTGGTCACATCACATGTACACACCACCATGTTCAGAGTATTCCTGTTTTTAACAGAGGAAGAAATCAAGGCTCGGAGTCATAGACTTGCCCAAGTTAGACAACAGGGCTGAGACTGGCAGCCAAGGCAGTCAGAATCAAAGCCTGTGCTCACAACAAACCAATCTGCTTGGGATGCAAGCAGGCTCAACAATGCAGCTACATTACCTGATCTGAGTCGAGTCTCTTCACCTCCCCTTTTAGTGTCTCCATTCCATGGATTGCTAGGTATCTCTTCACTTTGTTGGCATGTTTTTTGCTCTGCAAGAACCCAAGAGAAAGATCAAAGATAGTCAAAGGCCAATCATTTCACAGAGAGGGCAGCCATGACACACCAGATTCTCACCGTCCATTTCACAGAGAGGGCAGCCATGACACACCAAATTCTCACTGTCCATTTCACAGAGAGGGCAGCCGTGACATACCAGATTCTCACCATCCATTTCACAGAGAGGGCAGCCGTGACACACCAGATTCTCACCATCCATTTCACAGAGAGGGCAGCCGTGACATACCAGATTCTCACCACCCATTTCACAGAGAGGGCAGCCGTGACACACCAGATTCTCACCATCCATTTCACAGAGAGGGCAGCCGTGACATACCAGATTCTCACCACCCATTTCACAGAGAGGGCAGCCGTGACACACCAGATTCTCACCATCCATTTCACAGAGAGGGCAGCCATGACACACCAGATTCTCACCGTCCATTTCACAGAGAGGGCAGCCATGACACACCAAATTCTCACTGTCCATTTCACAGAGAGGGCAGCCGTGACATACCAGATTCTCACCATCCATTTCACAGAGAGGGCAGCCGTGACACACCAGATTCTCACCACCCATTTCACAGAGAGGGCAGCCGTGACACACCAGATTCTCACCATCCATTTCACAGAGAGGGCAGCCATGACACACCAGATTCTGAAGAAATGGGGGAAGAAAACTCATTTGCTGAGTTCCTATTATGTAGTAGGCCCCTCTACAGGCTATCACATTTAACCTTCGAAAATCTATGAGAATACTGTTGTCTATTGTACACATGGAAAAGCTCAGGCCAATCATGGTGAAACTTCCTGCTTATAAGATAGCATAACAGAGTTGGCTTCAAACTCAGATGTACGTAAAGCCAAAAGTCATTCTTTCCACATTTGATCCTGATTTGGTCGGGAGAGATGAGACTCACAGAAATTAAGTTCACTTCACGTCCCAAGCAAACATGCATGAAGGAAACATGTGGTCGCTATGGAAGACTGTGTGAGGCAGGAGAGGAGAGGGCTGGCACTGGACGGCAAGGCAAGCATGGCTATGATAGAGGCCTACCTGGTAGTGTGCCAGCTTCTGGGACTCAGAGATCAGCATGGCGCAGCAGACTTTGCACTGGGTGCTGGTGAAGAGACACTGGTTCTTCTGGATCATGTACTCCACTGTGGAGGGAAAGAGATCATGCAGGTGAGTCCAACAGCACTGCCTCTGGTCTCTCCCAAACACAGGCACCAATGATGGAGCCCAGACCAGCACACAGGCACATCTCCGCTCTTCCTCGCACCAAGCCATGACTCATGCTGTGCTTGCAAACCAACTGCATTGTGACTTCCTTCATATAGGCCAGTGTTCTTTACCTAGTCTCACATGGCTGTTAGGAGAGATGCCCCACGCTTCGCAAGAATTCCTGGCTCAAGGGATCCTTCTGCCTTAGTAGGTGTGACTACAGGGTCACACCCCCATTCACGTTAACCCTTTAAAACAATGTGGAGCTGAGGACTTCTTATGAAGCAGTTTTAAAGGAGCATGAAGAGATGCACACCTTTAATAACAACACTCAAGTGGCAGAGGCAGGTGAATCTCTGAGCACAAGGCCAGCCTGGTCTCCAGAGTGAGTGTGGGGCTTACACACCAGGCTGTGCAGGGCTATATAGTGAGCTCCTGTCTCCAATAACATTAATAGCAGTTTTAATGTAGACCGAAGGAGAGAGAGCCATTTAGGAAAAGGACAATACACACTATGGTGGCTTCAAAGGAAATGGCCCCCAGAGGGAATGGCACTATTAAGAGGTGTGGCCTTGTTGGAGGAAGTATGTCACTGTGGAGGCAGGCTTCAGGGTCTCACTAATGCTCAAGCCACACCCAGTGAAGGCAGTCCACTTCCTGTTGCCTTCTGATCAAGATGGAACCAGCACCGTGTCTGTCTGTTTGCACGCTGCCACGCTGTACCATGATGGTAATGGACTGAACCTCTGAAGACGTCAGCCAACCCAATTAAATATTTTTCCTTTATAATAGTTGGCTGTGGTAATGGTGTCTCTTCACAGTAATGGAATCCCTAACTAAAAAACACACCCAAGACATGGATGTGCTTCCCTTATTAGATAATTCTATAATTGAGTTTAAAAAATTACTTTATTTCATGTGTATGGGTATTTTGCTTTCATGCATGTCTGAGCCATGGAGGCCAGAAAAGGGCATTGGGTCCCAGGGAAATGGAGTTAGAGGCAGTTGTGGATTGCCAAGTGGATTCCCGAAATCAAACCTGGATACTTTGCCAGAGCAGCCAGTGCTTTAAAGTGCCCTGGAACTTGCTATGTACACATCAGGTTGGCCTAGACTCACAGAGCCAAGCCTGCTTCTGCCTCTGAGTGTTGGATTAAAGGCACAGGGCACCACACCCGATAGTAGCAGCCATTCCAAGTAACTGCACAGTGTGAAAGCAGCAATCCAATTGCTTCTCACTGCTGGAAGGTAACCTTTCGGCCTAGTGTGTACTGGCCTCCATAGAGGAAGAACACAAGCATGGGCCTGCATTCCTGAGAGTCCAGGAAAGGATCCCGATACAGGAAACCCTGATGCTCTGTATGAAGTCCTAGCTGAACAGAAAGGGTTTCTAAGAAGCTGGCCCAACCAAAAACCAGTACCCAGATGTGGAGGTTTTCAGTTTTAGGTGTCTTTGAACAACTTCACCTTTACTTTTAACTTTTTTTTTTTTTAAAAGAAGATTTATTTATTTATTTTGTATACATTGTTCTGCCTGCATGTATGCCTACAGGCCAGAAGAGGGAGCCAGATGTCATCACAGATGGTTGTGAGCCACCATGTGGTTGCTGGGAATTGAACTCAGGACCTCTGGAAGAGCAGCCAATGCTCTTAACCTCTGAGCCATCTCTCCAGTCCCTACTTTTAACTTTTTAAATCAGACGTGACCAAATCAAGATGGTTAGACTTGTTGACATCCCTACTTCCCAATGCATAGGGACCTGAAGTGTTAGGTAAGCTTTCTACCATCCAGCCCCAGCTCTGAGACAAAACTTGTCTCTACCCCCTTTTCCCCCTGCTCACAAAATGGATCGTGTGCCTCTTAATGCTAAGGTGACCACTCAGTACTCTCCTTCTGAGGCAGACAGACAGGGGGGGGGGGGCGAGGCAGACAGATGGACACACACAGAGGAAAGAGCTTTTGCCACTGAGTCGTCGGCTGTATGAACACACACGAGTGCATGCGAGCGCGCTTGCGCGCACGCACACACACACACACACACACACACACACACACACACACGAACGAGTCTTCGCCACCAAGTCATCATTGGCTGTGTGAACTCATCACCCTCTGCAGCTGCTTTCTCTACCAGTGTCATCCACTGCACTTCGGGTCAACCACTGCTGAGAAACCATTCACGGCTCATATGTAAAACTTAAGAATGTTTACGTTATTTTATACCGTTGTTTTGGGGGACTTTCTCTGGCCAGCCTCCTATGGCCATGGCTGGCAGTGTGTGGACCTTTCAGAGCTGCTCCCGGGAGTCTGTGAAAGCTTTGGCAGTGGGTGAATTTTTCTCTCTTTGGAGAAAGAGAACATCATAGTGCACTTGTCTTCTGTTTTTTTTTCTTTGATCTATTTTTAATTGTGGTGTTTGTGTGTCTGTCTGTGAGAACATGAGTGTGACCCAGGTACCTCAGCAGTTGAGAGCCACATGGTATGGGTGCTGGTAACCAAAATCAAGTCCTCTGGAAGAGCAAGACAGTACTTAACTACTGAGCCATCTCTCCAGCTCCAAGTGCAACTATTTTGATACAAAATATTGACAAGAGTCTATTGAAACAAAGAACGAGTCCCTTAAAAAATTAAATAAAATAGCTTGCCCAAATACTGGAGAATTCATATGTAAGGTGGCATAATTTGCCATAGCTAAGCTATGAAGTTAGCTAAATAAATGATTATAGAAAATGTAGGACTGGGGGGTGGAGAGATGGCTCAGTGGTTAGGAGCACTGGCTGCTCTTCCAAAGGTCCTGAGTTCAGTTCCCAGCAACCACATGGTGGCTCACAGCTGCCTGATGCCCTCTTCTGGTGTGCAGATGTACATGCAGATAAAGTGCCCATATACATAAATACATAAATAAATAAATCTTTAAAAAAATGTAGGGCTAATGAAATGGCCCAGGAAGTAAAGGTACTTACTGCCAAACAGGACTACCTGACTTTATTCCTGGAACCCACTTGACAAAAGGAGAACTCAGGGGCTCAAGGGTTAAGAGCACAGGCTGGTCTTTCTGAGGTACTGAGTTCAATTCCCAGCAACCACATGGTGGCTCACACCATCTCTAATGAAATCTTCTGCCCTCTGCTGGTGTGCAGGGGTACATGCCGACAGAACACCACATACACAATCCATTAATCAATCTTAAGGAGAGGAGAGAGCTCCTGCAAGTTGTCGTCTAACTGCCACACATAGCTATGCCAGTTCCACACACAGTGCACATTCACAAATAAAACAAAATGAAAAGAACATAGAAGACATGCTACATACACCCAACAGAACATTATACAGTCACAAAGGACAATGAAATCTGTCATTTGCAGAAAAATGAATAGAACTGCAGGGCATTGTTTTAAGTTAGAAAAGACAGGCAAAGAAAAACAAGCTCCACATGTTCCTTCATATGGTAGAAGCTAATTATGCTTCAAAAGGCACTGTTTATAAAATAAACACAAGAGCTGGTGAGATGGCTCAGTGGGTTAAGGCGCTTGCTGCCAAGGCTGATCTGAACTCCCGAGTCCCATCCCTGGGATCACATGGTAGAGGAAAAACTGACTACTACAAATTGTCCTCTAACCTCCCCACGAGTGCTAGGGCACCCATGTGCCCACACACATGCACATAAATGCCATAAAAAATAAAGAAGATAGCCAGACCTGTGGTGTATGCCTTTAATCCTAGCATTCTATGGTCTGAGGCTGGAGCCCTATCTACACAGAGAGTTCCAGGTCAGCCAGTACAACATAGTGAAACACCCCAAAAGAAGACAATCTTAACAAAATAAAACAAGAAATAAAGACAAGTCACAAAGAAAACATATGTGGACATCATATCTGAAATACAGGATTTGCACCCATAATATAAAATGGCTTATAATTCAGCAATAAAACAAATAACCAAGTTATAACATGAGCAATGACGTGCCTAGATAGTTCATCAAAGCATACAAATGAGTAGTAAGTGAAACAGTGGTCATGCCATCACTACTTAGTAAACCAGAAACCACTACAACTCAAAACAACTGGTGTGGGGGCACACGCCTTAATCCCAGCACTCGTGAGGTAGAGAGGCAGGCGGCTCACTGTGAGATTGAGGCCAGCCTGAACTACACAGAAGGTTTCAGGGCAGCCAGAGCTACATAATAAAGAGACCCTGTTTCAAAAGCAAAAACAAACAGTAAAACAACAAACAAGGGGAGGACATAGAGAACTAAAGTTCATGCTTCAAAGAAAGAAACAGAAATTGAAGAAGTCATTCTGGAAAGATTTGACAGTTCCTCAAAATGTTAAAGACACAGAGTTGCCATGTAGCCTAGCAAATTCACTCCCAGGAAGAGACCCCTGAGAAATAACGGACGTCCACACAAAAACTTCATAATCCCACAATGGAGTCACTGCTCATCAGGTAGAGGCCCTTTCCTCACAGGCCTTACAACCCACCTGATCCCACCATGGAAGAAGAGACCTCCACACAAACACTATGGCATTCATGAGCCTGTACACACACACACACACACACACACACACACACACACACACACACACACACAGAGAGACTCACTGGGCATGATGGTGCACACCGTTTGTCCTAACTTTCAGGAGGCCAAGGCAGGTGGATTATTGTAGTTTTGAGGTCAACCTGATCTACACAGTGAGCTCCAGGCCAGCCATGGCTAGATAATGAGCGCCCTCTCCAAAAGAATTTCCCAGAAAGAGGTACAAACTAGAAACTATCCAGATAGTCCAATAGCAAATATACAAACATATATAATATACCCACACAGCAGGTTCCTTTTTTAAAAATTATTTTATTTTTAATTTTATGCTCATTGGTGTTTTGACTGCATGTGAGTCTGTGTGAGGGTGTCAGAAGCCCTGGAACTGGAGTTACAGA